ATGACATTGTAAATGGGCCCCTGGAGCAGGAGATGGATATTCTGCGGTACGATTCATTTCCCCGGGTCACCGCTGCTCAAGAGCAGCGCTTTGTCACGGCCCTCTGGTCCCCTACTCCACCCCCCACATGGGGCCCCTTTTAACTCTGGCTTCAGGAGAGCCCCGCAGAGACCTCTCAGTCATCAGGACGCCGTCCTCTGATTGGATCCCAGATTGATTACACCCCATTCACGCACAGCCGTCTGTGGAGGAGGGCAGCGCTCAGCGGGGCCTCGTAGTCAGCGGCAGTGAAGCGGGGGCTCATCGGAGAAATCAGCGCGTGAGTGTCGCAGGTCTCAGGCCCAAGTCCAAATGTGGCGTGTCCCCAGCTCGTACAAAGTTAATTGCCGAGCGAGGATCGCGTTCGTAAAAGCTTTCAGTGCTTCCCGGTGATCCTTTGATTCATCTCTAAAAGTCCTGTAGCCCTAATCCTTCTTAATCTTCTGACACATTTTGTTTTTACGTGCAAACCTCGGCGCTCATTCGGTCGACGACATCATTCGACCACTTAGTCTCATCTTGGAGAGAAAAGCGGTTCATGTCACCCGGCGGCGGACCGCAGCACACATGGTAACTTTAATATCAAGTGGATTCAGCGAAAGGATGTTTTTAATGATGAAATCCCTGCAGCCATCTGTCAGCGTCATGAAATTGAGATCTGGATGACCCCCCCCCCAACCCCCCTGCTGTGCGTGGGCAGCATATGCCGAGTCGAAAAAGGCGCAACCTTTCCAGTTCAGACGACCATCGGCAAACTCATAATCATCAAAACCTCATCTGTTGCGTTCATAAATCTGCCACATGTCGCCACGCCAAACAAAGTCAGGCAAATTAATTAAAGCCAGTGGCTTGCCGTTTTTTGGGGGGAGGGGATTTGTACCGCCTGGAAATATCACAGGGAAACAACAACAACACGTTTCCTCCCTGTGTTACTGCGTGAGGCGTAACACGGTCGTGCGTCTTACCGCGTGAAATTAACGAGCCGGCCGCAGACAGACAAGCGGAGCGACGTGGTTGCGTCCCCGTGCGTCCTGCCACTCACACAACTGTGACTCTGATACTTCAAAAGCCCGCGAGGCTTTAAAGTGCTAATAGCTGCATATTAGTGATGTAGTACTGTGTGTGTGGCAGGGGAAGGGCCTGTTTGACATTACGTGGTGGTATTCTTAGTGTGTAGGTGTGTGTGTGTGTGTGTGTGTGTGTGTGTGTGTGTGTGTGTGTGTGTGTGTGTGTGAGAGATCCTGTTGCACCAAAGCAGAGGCAGTTTCAAGGATTACTGTCAGGGCAGAAGAGAGGCAATTAATCTCTGTCTTGAAAAAAGAAAAAGGGATGCAGCTTGAAGGCCTTTTAGGATCTTTTTGGAAAACGATAAGCTTCCGTTTTCTAATTCTCCCACGTGTATATGTGGCGGATATTGGAACATGTATGTGTGAGTGTGCAGTTGCAATTGCATTTTTTTTCTGAATTAGACATGCACGAGAGCAGCAGAGTTTGTTTGATTTCTATTCAATCACAGCCAGCTCCCGTATGGCTCCGGCGTCCAGGCGGCTATCAGCTGGGACAGGATGTTTGATCAGAACTAAGCTCTGCTGACATTTCATGTATTTATTTATTCATTTTGTTCTGTCACTTGCGTCCTTGTTGTCAGGTCAAAACCAAAAGAGGTCATAACGCATGAGCTATGCAACAGACGCAGTGCAGGGAAACACGCGGCTCGTCCAGCAACCAGTGCCTTTTCTTTATTTAACCCATTTTTTTATTTAACTTTTAAGAAAACTCTGCTATGTGCCGTCGGGGAGCTCAGAGTTTTTTCAGCACTACCTGCCTGACACCAATGAGCAAAACCAAATGCGAATGAAGCCGTACATCATCATGCCCCCCACCCCCACGGCTGTAGTATTCAGCCTGATCAGACCTGGCATCTTTACCTTCGGGAGCTCCACGACGGTTTCCTCCATCTGTCCGTGCAGATATAACTCTCCATGGATCTGCCTGAAAACATAAACTGCAAGAAAAAGAAACATGGAAATATGAAGCGGGAGCTCAGGTCGACCTTGTGTCATTAAGGATAAAACAAAGAAGCCCCATCAACACAATATTATTCATTTCTCTTCAATTTAATGAAAGTATTGACTGCAACGATCTTAGACACGATATAACTTCTCTTGCGAGTGTAATTTAAATGAACGTACCAAATCAAATGGGATTTGTTGCGACTAGTTAACACTCGCGATCCTTTTAAAACGGCACTTGGCAGTTAGCACGTGGGGGGCGTAGCAGCTAGCACTATGACGTCATCATCGGCAGAAGACTGAGTGCCCTCTGGTAATTAACTGCTGCCCGACTCGTCCGGCCACAACAAGGCATAATCGGCCGAAAGTGCCGTTAGAATATATAATAAATAGAAAGTAGCGGGATGTAGCTGGCATTAGCTGCCTCAGCCTCATAGGCCCGGATGTGACAAATAACCGGATGTCAAGTACTTAAATGTCCATAAGAACCGAGCAATGTAGGAACAACTATCAACTCGGTTGCAACAAATCGGTTGCTACAATTCTTACCAAAAAAGGACACTGTGTAAACTATAAACTTCTCTGCTTTTATGTTTTATTTCAGTTGAACAAAGTGTCTGAATCCAGCATTGTGAATAACTATTTTGAGAAATTTGTCCTTTGCTACACATAGATCTAATTTACTTTTCTTTTATTCTTTTCTCTCCTTTCTCCTTTCCTGTCTTTCACTGATAAGCCCCCCTCGCCCCCACCCTCAACCACCCAACACAATGACTCCATTGTGCCAGACCACAGAGCTGATAATGTTACGTGACATTAAGGGCAATGATGTTAGTTCCCATTCAGAGAGACATTTTTTTTGTTTGGAATGTGGACTGACAGAGCGCCATAATATTCAATGCTGTCAGAAATGACAATACGAACGCAATATTAAACTGAATCGCCATTGATCCGTGGAGCTTTGTATTAGCGACGACTAACGAGTGTAGCGGCTACGTTACCGAGACGCACTTTAATGCTGATCTTTATTAACTTGCGCGTTTAATTAACAAATGCACATTTCGAGTTGCCGGATTGGGCCCCTTTGCCACCAATCCGTCAGTCCGGAACCCGCCCGAGCCGTCTGTCCGCAGCACTGTGAAAACGTCGAAAATTTCCAATGTCATTCAGCCCCTGAAGTAGGAGCTCAATTGTTTTTCCGCTCTTTTTATGTCTAATAATATTCATATTCCGCTGAACGCTGACCTGCGAGGGGGGAAATAGGGGGCTATTTCCGAGCTGTCAGTACAACGTCTTTATCTCCGCTCTCCAAATGTTGGGGTCAGCCAAGACTTGACGCTCGGCAGCCAATTCTCCCAACGACCTAATGTGATTAATGGGTGTCGCTTAAGAGGGGCGGGGCTGGGGAGAGGAACAGAAGAAGTCATCCAAAGGAGACTTTTCGCTGAAGGAAAAGGTACAATGGAGACACTTAATCAGCAGGAGGCTGTTGTAAAAACTAAACCGTCCAAATGTCTCTTTGGAAGTTTTCAACGCGGAAAAAGACCCCCCCCCCCCCCCCCCCCTTCCCCCATCCCACCAAAACTTTATTACTGCCCCAGATAGAGGCATTTGCGACCTGTCACTTGTATTGATTTCTCCTAAACTGCAATTTACATGGATATTTGTGGGCGTCCTGAGGGCAGGCTGCAGCGTGGTGGACGGCCCCACCGGCCTCTCTCTCTCTCTCTCTCTCTCTGCTTTCGCTCCCCCTCGGGGCGGGAGGGAATGTTTCCACCCGGCAACACAGCCTCAAAGTGACCTTTTTTAATCTGACATCAGCAAATGTCATTGTGGGGTTTATTTTTTGCAGATGCCCTTGTTTTTCTTTGTTGGACATCAACCTAAAAATAGTGTAGGAACTGGCAAGGGTGAAGGAGATTTTTTTAAATCTTTTTGAGGAGTGGGGAAACGACAACATATTGAGCGAGAGCAATTTGAGTCTTGTTTCTTTTTTAGCTACGTCCTTTATTCAATAACTGCACATGCCGGAAATACAAAGTTTATGTGATCCAAGCAGCCACAAGTAAAATAATGTGTTTTGATAAGGCCCGAACATATCAACGTTGATTTATTCTCTCACTGTTGGGCCGCTTCTAACACACCTGCGCAGTGTAGAGGCCCGGGGATCGAAACAACAACCTGCAGCCCGGAAAGCCAACAAATGCTTTGTGAAAGGCTGGACTCTGCACTCACACCTAGAACCACGCCACGAGCCTCAAACTCTGTGGCTGCAGCCCACTGTCAGTGGGGAAGGTCATCTGCAAAACCCCACACCCCAAGCCGATTTTCTCAATAAAAGCCCCATTTGGTCAAACTTTAAAGCTTGCAAATTTAGCAGAAGTCGACTCAAGCTGTATATCAAAGATGCATTTGATGTGAGTTTGTGCTAATTGAGCATTGTGCGTCTTAGGGTAATCTCCCTTTGTGGAATTGTCGGTGACTTTAGAACAGAGACGGAGGGAATTTATTAGATCCATAATTCTGCAAAGAAATTAAGATGCCAAATCTGAAACAAGGAGAGGGAAGAGGACTCATCAGAGGACGCTGGACATCTACATCTCGTTCTTTCAGTCTCAAGTTTGTGGTGAGTTTGCAGCAGGTTTGACAGCTGGTGCGTATGGAAACCAGCAGAAATACATGTGCCCCATGCTGCAAAACATACGATCTGCCGATGTGCCCTTGAGCCAAAGGCACAGTGGGGCTGTGCTGCCCTCTGACCCCCTCCTCTGTGGAGGGCGCAAGAGAACAGACTTCCCCTGCAGTGCAAAGACAGAAAGAGAACGAAAGAAATGACGAAAGAAAAAAAGTAGGAGGAGGATTTAAAAGAAAATGTGTAAAAAATAAATAAAAAAAGAAACCATTTTAAAAAGCAGCGGGTGAATAAGGGGTGCGAGTTGGTGGGTGTCGCCGGTGATGTCACACCTCCCAGACAGCCACGATTGGACCCTAATTAGAAAGCTCGGCAGCAAATAGATAAGCGTCCTGCCTGATTGAATCCAAAGTGGCTGATGCCCAAAATCTGTGCAGAGGCGCAGAGTCGAACGGCGCGCCGGCATCAGTGCTGTCTGAGAGCCGCCCGACAGTCGCTCCGCGAGCCGAGGGACGACCAGGAGTTTCCAGAGGTGACTCGGGAAAACCGCACACGCAAACACACACACAGGAAAAGAAACACAACGAGGGAAGAGAGCACGGTCCGAGTCCAAGCGGGAGCGGACGCTGCGCTGTCGGAGCGCAACGGAGGCGGAAGCGATCCAAGTCCGAAAGGGAGTCGAGCCGCCGAGTCCCAAGTTGTCGCCGCGCCGCGCTCCAGAGGCTGCGCTCATGGCATCCGTGCTCGGCAACGGCGGCCGCGCGTCCGGGGCTCAGAGCGGGCAGGTGAAATGCAAGCTGAAGAGGAGGCGCAGGAGGCGATCCAAGAGGAAAGGTACAACTTCACACGCGACCCGCTTTCTGCTCTGTTTTCTTCTTCTTTTCCTTTTTTTAATTTCTTTTCGATCCCAGTGCGAGCGCGGAGGTCGTGCGCGCCTCTGCGGGGCGTCGGACGCTCTTGTTCAGCCTGCGCGCCGATCGAGCTCCGCGGCGGCGGCTTAAGTTCGAGCCGCTTTAAAAAGGCTGGAAAGATCGAACGAGGAGTAACGACGGCCGTCGGCTTTAAATGACGCATTGTTCATTTCGATATTTCCTCTTTCAAAGTTTAGTTGCTGCTGTATTTGTTGTCCTTCCTTTATTTCTCATTTTTCACAAAGACGCACAATTGTGTCGAACATAGCACAACGAACACATTAAACGACTCATCGGCGTAAACACACGTTAGAACGCGTGCTTGTGATGGAGATGTTTTTTTCTTATAATTTAAAGCAGCATCCGTAAAGCACGCGACGTTGTCTCCGGAGCGGATTTAACTTTATCACTTTATTAAAAAAATATATTTTCATCTCATAACATAGCATTACCACGTCCGTTTATATTCATAACTATATTCATATTCCAAATGTTATTTAAAGGAAACGCCAGGCTTAATAGAACCGCATGCTATATTAAAATAAAAATGTGATGAATGTCCTTTTGTACTAACCTCAAAGTCAGTACAATGGTACCCTGATAAATAGTCAGCTGCATCCCATATAAAAGTTATTTTGCATCATTAGAGTGTAAATCAAAGTGTACTAAATACTAAAATTCTCAAGTTTGGGAAACCCTTCATCCGGGAGAGAAAGATCCTGTTATTAAAACTCCTGTTTAATTTAATGTGTTTATTTATTTTATAATCTGTTGCAGAAGAGTTCTGAAAAGCAGGACTGTGTATGGAGTCGACGTGACGATATTCACTGTGGAACAATTAACTATTTCTGCAATCAAAATGTAAAAACGTGTGGACGTTAAGTGACTAAAACCTAACGGGGGTGCACCGCTCTCTGTGCAGCCACAGATAGACTGATGCCAGTCCTCTTTTTTTTATTCGTGCCCTGCAGTCTGCAGGAAGGTGTTCCGTTTCTCTGTCTACGACAGCCGTGTATTTAATGCCACTCACGCTGTCAGCAAAGCAACTAATAATTTACAGCACTTTGACTGTTCTCACATGTCCATCTTTTTCCGTCTATTATAAAATAATCTGAATCCACTGCAAGGTGTTGTTCACTGCTGGTGCACTCGTCTGGGATTGCAAAGTCATTTTACGCCAATTTATTCGATATTGTGCCTCACAGTGAGAAAATGACATTTAAAAAAGATTAGGGGGGGCGTTTGGATGTCAGTAAAAGCGTCCGTGCATACTTAAAAGCTTAACACAGAGGTTCTTACTCTGCCTGCTTTAGTTTTCTTGATTATTGGCTACTTTACAACAAGTCACCCGAACCGACGCATTAAATGTTTATTTTTCTCTATCACAGGCTAAAAACACTCAAAAGTATCTTCCTTTTTTATTCAGCATCCCCCCCACACACACATTTTTGTTTCCCTCTTTAAGAAAGCAGAGAGGATCCAAAAAGGAAAAAAAAGAAAAAGGAAAGACCCATTTATATTTTGTCAATTTCTATGCATAAGCGATGCGAGCGGGCCTGTGTGTGTGGGTCATGCTTGGATGTACCAACGTGTCACATTGTGGAGTACGGATGAACGCTCGGAGCGCCTCGACGTGCCCGGCCGCCATCGAACGCTCCACGAGCTCCAAGAAACACTCTGCACTTGTCATCAAGCTGCAAACTGACAACCGCACCTCATTTCCATTGCCTCTTGATTTTTAATAGCCCAAGTAATCGAGACCGGGGAGACAATACATAAAATATAGCGCAGAGGCAAATGTATTTACATAATGGAAACGGCAGAATTGGTTCCACGACATTAGGCGTCGCATTCGAGGAGCACGGGAACGTGCGAGCGTTAGCCGGCGGGCCTACGCGCCGTCTTTTTTTTTGCAGACGGCTAATTTATCAGCACTGCTGATTCGTTCTGATAACACGGGACATTAGGGGGGCCAGTTCAGGGGCCGCCCGTAAATGAACTGTGTCTTTGGGAAATGCTGAGGGGCCGCTGACTCCTCCAAAAAGCTTCGGGATGGATAGGGGGGGTCTCTGTGCTGAAACATTCAATAACATCTCCTGTGTGTGTGTGTGTGTGTGTGTGTGTGTGTGTGTGTGTGAAGGAGATATATGATGACATGATGATTTTACTAATGTTTTATGACTTAAGGACCCCCCCCCCCCTTCCCCTTAATTCTTAATCTCAATAGCCAATTGATCAGCATCTTGCGATTTCAGAAAATTATTTTTTACAAACCTTTTGGCTAAATAGAAATAAAAAGGCACGCAGGGATTACGAGGCTCAGAATTCCTTGAAATCCCAATACTATATTCCTCATCTGTCTTGTTTTTTTTCTAAACTCTGTCTCTGCTGCTCTCTGTGTCGGGGGTCAGAGGGCTGATCCCAGCTGGGCGGACGGGCGCCGCGGAGGTTTTGCTCCACCGTGTTTGCCTGCGCTCCTACAGGGGTCCTCCTACATGCTGTGCGTCTCCCCCTTAATTAATCGCAGCCTCTGGATTCACACCGTCCCTTAATGACGTCAGCAACACAAGTGTCGTGTGTGTGTGTGTGGGGGGGGGGGGGTGACAGTCTAGTGATGTACAGGCACATCTGTGCGAATGTCTGCTGTATTTAGTCACTCAAATTTGAGACTTGACTGTATCCACAGTGTTTTTTGTTATTTAAAAAAAAATCGTGAACAAAGTGAACAGAGGTTTATGGAGCAACATTATTTTTTACAACGAGACTTATCGTCCCATTCACTCGGCGTGCAGTACATCAGCTTGTCATCCAGAGCGCCGAGGTGCGAAGAACACGAGAGTAGCAGAATGTACGCCGCATGTCTGCATATAACGATGTGTGGAGTTTGTGTCAGCCTTTAGAGGAACGTGGCATTTAAAGTGGCTGAGTTAGCGGTATTTTAAAAACTAATGCTGAGTACATAACACCTTACCTCACCGTGTGTGAGATGCCCAGATACACGGTGGTCACATGGTATCCGCAATGGCCCCCCGGACAGGAAAAATAAGATTGCTTTTGATTGATAATTTGTTCCCTTGCAGAACACCCTTTTCTGGCCTTCAAATAATGCTCTAAATGGGATCTCGACCTCATGAGAAGCATCTTTTGTAGCCGAGCGTGTCACTGTGATGATAGCGTTTTGTCAACCTCGTCGAGGCTGAAGCAAACTTGCAGTCACACAGCTGTTTGAGCGACGACAGCGCCGCAAAGAGAAGAGCTCCGATTTAGTCGACGGCTCTCTTCGGCGTACAGTACAGTTTCCACAGCGTGTCTGCCAGGGCCTGAATAGCTGCGCCGCTAAAACGCTGTATGTGTGAGACGGTGAGAAACTGTGTGCTCAGAGCTGGATGCTGCTGCAAAGAGAGCTCATTGAAAAGTTGTCACGCTCGAACCTCGACGGTGGAAAGCCGCTGCTGTTCCTTGTGGAGGAGGCTGGTCTGTGATCTGTGTCTGCCTGCGCGTTCATTGAGAATCCCTACCTGTGCAGTGTGCTCTGCCTCACATTAATATTCCAAATGTTTCCTGTGTGCAGTGGGAGGGAGACGGAGATGCATTTCACTCATTACTTTTCTCACACTTGTTTGTGCTTTTGCCGATTACCGCATTTTCGGAGCGTCAACAAAAGAAAAGAAAAGAAAAATGCCGCCGGCATTTATGAGGTTAATGAAGGTCGGCGGCGACAGGAAACGGCCCGGAGCCCGGCGGCGTGCGCGCGCATGGCTTTGTGCATTTACGGGCGCTCCCCTGATTAAGGCTAGCGGTGGAGGAGTTGGCGGTTTAGGACACGGCGTCCTCTAACTGACTGAACGTTTAGCTGAGGGAGAGAAAAAAAAGGTTATTACCACTGACTGTGCTCTCTTGAGGACGCCTGATAAAATGACCAAGGAAAAAAGGAATAGCACAACTTTAGCACATTAGCATAATTAGTAATTATCTCGTAATAGTCCCTCTTGGCTCTTTGGAGCTCGGCGGTGAGAAATTGTACTTAAAGTTCAGGCGCGGAAAACAAATTTGGAGCCACAAATGTCTCTGCAACACACACAGGAGCCGCCTCAGTCGTGGTGAAAAAGAGTCCCGAGTATATGTAAAAAAATAAAAAACACAGATGTGGATTTAGAAAAAAAAAAAAGAATCAGAAGGTGACATACGTTAATTAGCTTTTTGTTTGACGACTCCCACAGTTGGAGAGATAAGGGTATTACTCACATCACAAATAACTTGTCGCGCGTGTTGCTATGACGACCAAAACACAGACATTTAATTGCGTTAGTCATGTACTGCGCTCCATCACCCACAACAGCTTTCAGAACATCAACTACTTAAGGGGAGACCTTTGGGAACTGCCATAGCGCAATATAGTTTCACTAACGTATGTGTGAGCGCAGAGGGAATTAAGCTCCGGAGTGTATCAGCTGGTGAGTGTAAGTGTGTGCGAGTGTGTGTCCTAGCACAGGTCCGGGCCTGCTTGGGTACGCGCCGCTCGCAGCGAGCTGTCAGTCCTCATAAAGGGAGATGTGGTGGGCGAGTCAGCAGCATCATGGCGTGCCGTCGGTGTGAGAGAGAGAAAGAGCGCATGTCTCAGACCCCAAACGTGTTGCATTATTAAAAGATGCAATATAAATACTGAATAAATCTTTGTATCATTAACTGACTAAATTGATGTAAAATTATGTCTTCCCTCGATAGGGACGTGTGATGGATACGGTTGTGTGTTAGCATCTTCACTCTTGTCCCGGTGGAATATTAACTTCAGATCGGATTCATATCGTCAGTCTTCCTCTCAGACTGCATTAAAGTCCTAAGCAGCAGGGAGGGTAACCCTTAGGAAGCAAATGTTGTACCTTCTGGACTAGATCGAAGACTTTTGGGGACATGTCGTGCTGT